TAACACTAAGGAAAAAGAAGAAAAAAATGAAATTCTGTAGTTAATTCTGTTAGGGAAGAATACCAACTAATTAGAAAGGCAGGAAATCTGTCAGAGTATGTGATCTCTTCTCAAGAAAGACAAGAGGAAAAACAGCATGAAATAATAAAAAATAACTATATCATACAGAAAGTGAACACATTAACGAAAATTGACTTGCAAAAAAGGTATCTCTTAAAATTGATGGAGGGAGAAGGTCATTTGAAAAAATGTATTAATTCATGACAGCCAGCCATCACTTCAGAATTCAGGGTTATATTTTAAAGAGAAATGGAGAATATACTGAATCATGAACTTTAGGCACTCAGAAGTGGCACAGGGATAAAATACAGTGAGTTTAAATATTTTACTGGTAAACTTCAAAATTAAATCTGTAATAAGTCAGATGCCTGTAATCCCAGCAGAGGCAGGCAGATCTCTGTGAGTACAAGGCCAGCTTGGTCTACATAATGAGTTCCAGGCCTACTTGGGCTACAAAAAGATGCCATTGAAAAAGACAGAAAATAAAAACAAAAATAAACACAAAGGCCTACAATCATCCTGAAATCCAGTGTGGAGTCAAGGACTTTCCCAATGTATGCTGAAAGCCTGAAAACTGAGACACGAGTCAAGTATTGAATGGGGGAATTCACATTGACCTTTGTGTTCCCAGTCTTTTTTTTTTTTTTTCTGTTTTTTCAAGACAGGGTTTCTCTTTAGCTCCAGCTGTCCTGGAACTCACTATGTAGACCAAGCAGGCCTCTAACTCACAAAGATCCACCTTCTTCTGCCTCCAAAGTGCCAAGATTAAAGGCTTGTGACACCACACCCAGAAATTAAGTTAATCTCAATCTTTTTAGATTATTTCTAATTTGAAACTGAATTTTATCTATCTTCTCTTATATTACCAGAGAGTCCACTGTGGATCTTTTTCATCTGATCTACAACTGCGAAAATTTATTCAGGAAATAAAACATTAATCTTTGGCTCCATCTTTAGAGCTTTCAGTCCAGTATCCATGGGGCTCAGAGACTAACAGACAATGGCAAGACTGAGCCATGAGAGGGAAGGTCATGACATCAGAAATCTCATCTCATGGCTGACGAGAATTATAGAGAGAAGGAAGGTGCCTGAACAAGACACATCCTCTGAACCACAGCTCTGGGAACTGTATCCTGTCTGTGAAGCATTCAGAAGTCAGAAAGATTATGAATGAACAAGCATATGAGCAGCCTGAGAAAGTATGCATCCCAAAGAAGCCAGGACTGACGTGCACACACACACAGGACGATGTGCAAACTTCCAAAATCAAAGAACAAATGAAGAACTGCACTGGACAATATGATGTCTTAAATATTATACCCGGTCAATGTTTCACAGTCTCTTTTCTGACCAAACGGAAATATAGACATCAACAGTAGGTAGCAAACAGAAGAATCCCCAAATGACATGTAGACAGTCCCAAATATTTAACACATTCTTATTTAAAATGGGCAGAGAATATAGAATTTCATGTTATATAAATATACTATCTGATTCTCACTGAAGTCTTACAATCATTTTCAGAAGACATACATAAGCAAGTATAAAACAATGAAAAAACATGAAGAATCAGAATGGCATAAACATTTTCAAATGAGGAACAAAACAAGACAAAAAATTTACTAATTTCATGATATGCTAAAAACTTGAGTCGATAGACCTTAATATCAATCACAGAATGCATGAGATCTGGACGGAGAGAATAGGTCGAGTAGCAGGTATAAAGATGATTAAGGTTTTTGTTTTATTTTGTTTGGTTTTTTTTTTAAGAAA